CCTTGTCTGCCTCCGAAGCAGCCGCAGCCTTAGCTGCCGCGCGCTCCCTGTCCCTCTGCCGCGTCTTCTCCTTGTCTGCCTCCGAAGCAGCCGCATCCCTAACTTTTTTGGCTTCTCTGTCCTTCTGCTGCCTCTGCTTCCTCTTAATGTCCGCGTCGGATGAGGAACCTGTTTGAATTTGAACAGGACTTGTAAATAAGTAAAATTTCAGTTATATAACTACCAAACATAATTGTGTGCAGGTGATGCCGCCACTCTTTCCCGCGCTTACCCGCGTCGCTAGGCTGCGGCTGTGGTGGGCCCTGCACCACGCTGTCGTAGTGTGTGCGCTCTACCCGCTCCCGGTCGCCGCGCGGGGCTAGGCTGAGCCGATACGCGATGCACAGCGTGGCCTGCGGCGGCCGCCGCCGCCTCTTCATCGGCACTATGTCCGTGGCAGGGGCACGCGGCCCTCGGCCGTCCACCTCGTTGTACACCCGGATAATGACATTGTAGTGGCTGGCCACCGCCGACAGGGCCGCGTTGTTGCCCCACGCGCCGCCCTCCTTAACGGGCCGTCGAACGCCGTCTATCACGGCGGCCAGGGCTGCCGCGCGGTCCGGCACCCCTCTGTCTACGATGAGCCTCGCGTACCGCCCGGGCTCGTCCAGGATGAGGCCGACTGCTGGGTCCAGGTACAGCTCCTTGTTGGCCTCCATGAACGCGGCTGCCTTCCTCCTCAGACTGGCGGCCAATGCCATGTGATCGGGGCCGCCCACCGCGACGGGCACCCGCATGACAACGCCCTGGTGTCGCATCTGATGCGCCAACGCCGTGTACATACACTCGCCATCAGAGGGCATACACAAGACCTGGGCCTCGCCCTCCTCCACGCGCACCGCCTGCTCCGCGCCCGCCAGGGGCCAGCCCTGCACCAAACACACGCGTCAGACACACGTCAGTACATGCACAGGGGACATGGTCACTACTGATGGAAAACTTACCTGCTCAGCACGCAGCATCCTGACGGAGTCTTCGCACAAAGTCACAAAGTCACAAAACACACGGTAAGAGTAGGGATGGACGTGGAACTGGTCGACACGACGCGCGCGGGGGCAGCAGCGTTCAGCCAACGACACGTGTCTCACAGGTCTCCGCTCAACTTTAACTGACTTCTCTTCGTGTCGCCGCGCTCTCTGTCACCCTCGCCGACGTCTCCTCCGACCAGCAGCCGGACGGCCCGGCGAACCTTCGGTCTGCACCAGCAGGGCTGCACCGCCCCCAATATGCATATGGGACACCCAAAGTCTGAGGGGGCGGGTCCAGGACGCCCGAGCCCCGTCTGCTTACCTGCCAGCTCAGGCTGGCCGGCTGGCGGGTGCCGGATGCTGCTGAGGGCCCCAGGCCGGACCCCGATGCTGTCCAGTACTCCAAGCTCATTGCAGCAAGTGTGCACCGCGAGACCCGTCCCTGGGAGCCGCGAGCGCGAGCCGGTGCAGGAGGTGGAAGCCATCGGGGGGCTGCGCTCAGCAGCGCCACGCACCGTCCGGCCGCGAGACCCATCGGGACACTCGGATCGGCGAGAGGCCTCGGGATTAGAGTAGAGATTATACACTAACAACACACCGAAGGTGAAGGCGACACCAGCCGACGGCCTTATGTGGCACCCTGTGGCGTGTGACGGGGTCCTGACCCACCGTGAGCGAGGCCGTTGCTTCAAACAGCACCCACATCTGGTAAGCATCAAACATCACCAAATGTAGGGCGAACCGGCCATATCACTTTCCCCT